AGAAAGGAATCTGGACAAGAGTTAGCCACTTTTAGAAGTCTTTGGGTCAGATTCCATGTGTGACCCACTCCATGACCGCAATGTAATTTTTTTCAGTTAGTCAAGTCATGTCTGATAAACACAAACAGTAGGTCACAAAGTATTACCCACTGTATTTCTGTTGTTGTGCCTTCTTACACACCAATTAGGGTCTATAAATATTTTTTTGAAGAGATGATAGAGGGCTTCCCACAAATACAGTTCTACAAAAGTGCTATTATAACCCACAATTTAGGTTAATTGATGAGAATTTTTGAAGCTTTTAATTCTTTTTAAAGTATGCCAAAATCACAGTGCAAATCCTTCACCAACTTGACAACCACTTTTGATTAATTAGCAGGTCTGACATTTATTCTCCTGCCTCCACTGATATCTTATATTCCCTAAGTACTTAATTTTCACCTTAAAACTGCTTCTAGAAGGACTGTGCTTAGGACTAATCTGTAGAAGATAATTTTAGCAATCAACAGGCACAAGAAAGGAAAACAAGAGGAAAATGTCAGGAATAAATCTAGGATGTTTATCAAGTGTTACAAAATAGTTTGAGTCCCCATAGTCAGCTGAACTTCTGTATTCACAATGCATGTGTGGACGGATTAGCATTTCGGATCTGGTAGAGACAATGAGTATGAACTTTCAAAATGCAGGGATGCACATTCACACCTGCCATGCTTGAGAGTGTCCTAGATCACAGCGGGCACTGTTTCTTGGAATTCTTGAAAAGTTTAGCAATCTGATGGGTATCTAATTTAAATAATCAATTCTCTGATTATTAATGAGGTTGATCACCTTTCCAGAAGTAATTCAAATTTTTTCCTCAACAAAGTGACTGTTTATTTCCTTTGCCTATTTTTAACTTTTATTTTTAATCCTATTTTTGGAGCTATTTGTAAATTAGAGATACAGTCACAATGAAGTCTGTGTACAGGGTCCTTTTACATTTTTACTGACTTACAATCAAGAGTATTTATAAAATGGTGTAGAGTATAAGGAGAAAAGGTGACACACTCATTTACTATCTGCTGCTACGCAGTTCATAACTATGAAAGTGTCCCTGATTGCTCTCGTTCCTTGACACTTTCCCCACGTAATTTACTTTACCACTTCCATTCATATGCATCCAGTGGCATAGTGCCTAAAGCATCTGACTGCTAACCACAAGGCTGGTGGTTCAAACCCACCAGCCACTCCTCAGAAGGAAGACTGGGCAATCTACTTCCATAGTGACACTGCCTCAGAAACCCAAGAAGGGATCACTATGAGTCGGATTCAACTCGACGGCGTTGAGTTTTGTTTTTTGTTTTCCTCCATGTCATATTCCAGAGACTCACCATTGTTATGTTTCAGTGTAATTTATTCATTTATATGTATGTATTACAATTCATTTATCCATTCTGCTGCTGCTGTTGTTGCTATGTGGTGTCGAGTTGGGCCCAATTCATAGCGACCCCTTCTTGGGTTTCTGAGGCAGTATCTCTACAGAAGTAGATTGCCCAACCTTCCTTCCAAGGAGTGACTGGTAGGTTTGAACCGCCAGCCTTCTAGTTAGCAGTGAAGTGCCTTAGGCACTATGCTACCAGAGCCCCTTCCATTCTACTAATGAAGATATTTGAGAATACTCCTGTATATGATTCTTGGTGGATATGTGCAGGGTGTCTCTTGGATATATAAACAAGTGAAGACTTAACTGGGTCATAGAGGATGCATGCCCTCAAATTTGTTATGTGATGGTTTCTAAAGTCCTGGTGCAAATTTACATTTCTACCAGATTGCGAGATTTCTGGTTGTTTCACTTATACACCAGCACTTGGTAAAGTCATACTTTTAATTTTTTTTGGCAGTCTGAAAGGTGTAAAATGATATCTCATCTAGTTTAATGTCACACTTCCCTGATTACTAATGGGGTGGAACACCTTGTCATAATGTTCTGACCATTTGGATTTCCCTTTTTTGTAAAGTGCCTGTTCAAGGCATTATACATTTTTTCTCTTGTGTTGTTTTTTTCTTAAGTTTTAAGGGAGATATTTACAAATCTGGATTCTAATCCTTTTTCAGTTTCATATACAGTAAATATTTCTCCCACATTTGTGGGTTTCTTTGTGTCTTTTGATTCCTGATACAAAATTTATACTGATTATTTATTATCATGCAATTAGAAAATTCTCAAAAACAGTGTTAAAAATAGTGATGATAGTGGACATTCATGTCTTATTCTGATGTTTGTGGAACTGACTTTAGCATTCACCACTTAATAGGGTATTTTGAGTCTATTCCTGGTAAATAATTTATCATATTTACTTATTTCCTTCTAATCCTATTTCTACTTAACAAGTTTTTACTGGAAGACTCTGAGGAATTATATCAAATGCCTTTTTAAGTTCTAACAACAACAACAACATTAATATAATAATATAGCACTTGACCTTTTCTATTTTGATATGATGATTTATATTGCTAGATTTTTTAATGTTGAACCTTATACCATCACATTTCTAGACTCAACCCAAGCATTTTGGAATTCAATTTACTAAAAACATATTTTAAATAAATCAATAAGCATTAGATTTTTCTTTTGTACAATTTTTATTAGTTTTTAAGATGTAGGTGCGTAAAATAAATGAGAAATGTTCTACCTAAACATAAAATACAAGTTGTTGTATCGAGTCAGTTCTAACTCACAGCAACCCCATGTCTTTTTCAGAGTAAAACTGTGCTTCGTAGGGTTTTCAGTGGCTGTGGTTTTTTTAAAATAGATTGCCAGGCTTTCCTTTCTAGAAGCCTCTGGTTGAATTTGAACCATGAACCATTCAGTTAGTAGTTGTGTGCTAAACTGTTGTGCCACTAAGTTAAATACGTAAAATAAAGCCTTTCTATTTTTACAGGTTAGGCAGAATTTAGACATAAAGCTATCTGGGCCTGGTAGTTCTAAAAATTGAAACTATTAAAATATTTTTCAGATTTCTGTGATTTTGGGTTTCTCCAGGCTTTCCTCTTCTTAGGTCAATCTGAGTACAGGCTGTCCCCAGGCTACAAACATCAGACTTACATACAACTCACAGTTACAAACACCCCCCCATCCCAGTGCACACACAAAGACTCTTATATTAAAAATTCGAGGCAAATACAATGGTTCATAATAACACATAGGTGCTACTTTGTGGCATGTATCAAAACATTGTTATTATTATTATTACTGTATAATTATGTTCAAAATGTTTAAGTGTATCTGGAAGTGTTTCTTTAATGATTTTTATGCATAAAAAAATGACACTATATACTATTTACTAAGACATTTGACTAACATATGTTAGATACTAACGGTCTATAAACTGTTCTGCCTTAACAAATTCAACTTAAAAACAGATTTAGGAATGGAACTTGTTCATAATCCAAGACTGTGTGCACTTTACATTTTGGTAACAAATCTTCCATTTCCTGTATATTTTTCAAATCTATTGTGATAGTTTGCAATACTATTTATAAAAAAAAAAAAAAAAATTCTGTTAATCTCTATCTCTTTTCTTATATCTAATACTGAATTTTTTCTTCTATTTTTTTCTTATCCCATCCTTTCAAGGGGCTACTTTTTACCTGGAATAATTTGCACACTTCTACTGTGGTTTTCTTTTGGAGGGGGGAGAGGGCAAAGAGCAGGATTTTTTGTTTCAGTAAAAATTATTTAATCTCAGTTTACATCTTTATTATCTTTTCATTTCTATTTTCTGCTTTCTTTTTGTTGTTACTCTTCCTATTATTTTGAATACTTATTTATTTTCAGTATTTTACTTTTAATAATAAAAACATTTAAAGTTATACATTTTCCTGTGAGTACAATATACTCTAATTCATGTTTTGGAAATGTAGTTTACGGAAATGAAAGTGCTATATATTAGAATGTAAGCAGAGGGATGCTTGCTATGTCATTTCCCATAGTAATAAGTAAACAAACAGGTAGAGACCTAAATGCTCATCATTACTTTGATGGTTGCCTACGTTATATAACAGGTTTGCTTACTACAGAAGATTATATCATTATTTAAATCTGCATATATTGCTCTGGAGGAATGTTCATAAAATATTATGTGTACAGCAAAGTTGTATGTGAAAGTTAATATAACAAAATCTACTTGATTACATGAAAGTAATAGATCTGATGTGCTTAAAAAAAACAGCTCACTGCCACAGAGTCGCTTGTGACTCACAGCAACCCTCTAAGACAGAGTAGAACCACCCCATAGAGTTTTCAAGGCTGTAATCTTTACAGAAGCAGATTGTTTCATTTTTCTCCCATGGAACAACTGGTAGACTCAAACTGCCAACCTTTTGGTTAGCAGCCTTCTGCTTTAAGCACAGCAACAAGAGAGCTCCTGATGGGCTAGGAGGAAAATAAACCAATCATTTATACATCTCCTCATTGTTTGACTTCTTTAAATAAGAATTTCTTACTTCTTTAAATTAAAACATTTAATTAAAAGGACAAAGGTCCACAGACACTGCTATAAAACTTCTCGTGTTAATTGAAGAAACCTATTTTTAAATTTAAATGATGAACATTCGTATATAAGTTGTATCATTAAATAAAAATGAATGAATGGGTTAAGCCCTATACTCTTTTATCCTCATATTTTTTTCTCTTTTCCTTCTTCTTCTTCCGTATGACTACTATAGCACTTATTGAAACTCTAAGTTGCTATTCCATGAAATCTCTAAAAGGTCCCCTAAATATCCCCTTCAATAGTAAACTGTGGAGATCTAAACACATAAAAGTACTAACCAGATAGGAAAAGATTAAAAAAAAAGGGGGGGGGGTAGTTTTCTTTTATTCTGTAACATAAAAGGAAAGCAATGCTAAGTATTAGTTGTGAAAGGACTTATGATTAAGTCCATTTTTGTACTGTACAAACCAAGGTGTTAGTAAACTCAGTCAAACAAAAGTAAAACAACAAAATAATCAACAGTACCTTTTTCTTGTAATATTGTCTTGGTGGTGGCTTGATGGTGGCAAGGAGATTCCTCAACACTGTGGTCAGATTTTGAAGGAGAGGAAAGTGAAGTATCTCCGCAAATAGAGGAGAAAGTCCCCATTTCTGGGTGCAGCTGTCTTTCTTGAAAATCAGGTATGTGGTCAGATGAGAAGGGTGTGCTGCTAGCCACTGGGGTGAGGGGCAGAGCACCAGAATCTGATTCTGAAGACGTTCTCAAACCCTTGGGCAGAAGTGATTTGGTAATATGCATGTGATTATAGAAACTGTTTAAAGGCTGTTGGCATAAGAGATTATAAAGGAAGTTATGCTACTGAGTACTAGTTGCAGGTAATACTCACTTTGAAATAAGATCAACCTTTTGTTAGTGAATGCCCCCGAAAACCAATTTTTTTTTTTTTTTTTTGGCTGTTGGTTTACAGATGAGAATGCAGAATTCACAACAATTGACCATATTACCATTGTAGCTAATACAGATCTCTAAGACAGACAGAAATAATTTCTGGTACATTCATTATTTCCACTAGGTAAAATCAACAGTTGAATATCAAAAGCACCATCATGAAATATTACAACATGGATAATGCTCTTGGTCAGTTTACTGAATGAGAAGAGAAAACCATTTGAACTGTAAGAATGTATCAAGTTGAGCAATAATCTGGGAGACAAAAAAAAAAGTTATTTCCAATTAGGACACAGAACCTGGTTGCAGAAAAGTCATTGTCATCAATAAGTTGTAGGAATAATGATATAGCACAATACTGCAAGTCAGAAAATGGTCAAGGGTGCTCACCTTTCTCTCTAGACTATCCTCCCCATCTGTGGAACTGACACTGTCATATAGTCTTGTCCTGGAGGGCCTCTGGCGTTTGTTCTTCACCGAGAGCTGGGCCCGGGTTTTCAGTGCTTTTGAATCCAGGCGTTCTGTCTCTGGGACTGCTTCATTCAAATCTGAGAAAAGGATATTGCAAAATAATTACTAAGAGAAACCTTTGGAGAGATTGACAATTAGATCACAGATACTGATAACAAAATCTCAGCATTATCAGTAACACCAAGCCAAAAACAGGTGACAAGCATGACAGCCTGTCTGATACGCCATAGCTACAAAGGAAGCAGCGAGATTCTGGATATAATGTACAAAACCAACACTGAAGATAGCCAAGGCAACAACACAAATCTAACATCCAAAGGTAAAAGAGCATAAAATCTTCTTCCAACATATGTATACACTTGTATCTATCTATGTAACTATACGCCTATACCCATCCATGTGTGATCACACACTGGTTTTTCAGTCTTTGCTGGAGTTGCTGTCATCTTATAGATGTCAAATTCTTTAGCACAGGCCTCCTTTTCTCTTGAGCACTTCTTAGTGACATCATTTATTTGGCCAGGCTGTGCTCACTTAACACATTTGGTGCCACTTTTCTCATTATCAAAAATAATAAGTATCCACATTCTAAAGCATGCTTCCCCATTGCCCCCTACTTCTCTGCAGTAACGACCAAAGACAATGGTCTCTTGCTATATGTCTATTCTTGCCTTCTTATAAAAGAGGGATCATACAACATTTGCCCTTAAGTACTTAATTTATTTCACTTTGCCCACCAGGTCCATTCATGTTATGTTTTACAGATTAATCAATGTTCTTTATGATTGTACAGTACTCCATTGTACATATGTACTACATTTTGCTTATCCACCATTGGTTTATTGGCACTTTAGCTGTTTCTTTTCTTTTCTTTTTTTTTTTTTAAACTACTGTGAATAAAGCTGCAATGAATATATAGGTGTGCATATGTTTGTTTGTGTCACTACTTTTAGGTCTCTAGGTATAAATATGGCGTACACAGGAATCAGATTGACTACATCTGTGGCAAGAGGTGATGGAAAAGCTCA